ATGTCTTTGGAGTGTGGGAGGAAACTAAAGCATCTGGAGGAAACCCATGCAAACATGGGGAGGACATACTGTACAAACTCCATGCAGAGAGCACCCCAGGAACTGAACCTAGGGCACCAACACTGCAGTGGAGCAATGCTAACCACTGTGCTACTGTGCCAATTACTGGAACATAAAAAAAAAACACTACAAAAGCTACAGGGGCATCTGTCCCTTACAACCGAGAAGTCTCTTCATACATATCAGAAGAGAACCAAAGTTAGACAGGATCCCATTAAAGTTTATAAAAAAAACACAAAGTGCCAAGCTCCTGAAAAGTAAACTGGAATAGGTGGGGTTAGGCTGAAATATTACCAGATGAACTTTGTCAGATGATCACAATACATGCCTGAACCTGGACAGATTATGCAAGAAAGTTATCACATATCAACATTTAAAAGGACTGATTTAGGGATGGCAGGCTATTATAATAAAAAATATTTGATTGTTCATCTGGGTATGAAAATATGAACTGTGTCACAACTGCTCAGGTTCAGTTTGGACTTCCACTCCTTAAAGTATGGATCACTGTTCAGATCTCATGAGATTAAAGTGCTTGGCTTAGCAATTACACTGTTGACAGTTAATAACTGTGATAACCTGCTGCCTGTTTTGATGACACAAAATGATAACAGTGTTTCACCTAAGGCCAACAAGACCTGGCCTTTTTCACCATTTACGCCCAATTAATTGTGACAGATTACACATTTTCATATCCAGATGTATCATTTAAGTTTATTTATTACAATGACCTGCAGCACCTTAGCAATTACTCATCTCTGATTGTTTCTTCATCCTGGTATTTTACATGTCAACTTCTGACAAAAAAAAGATTTGTGTTAATTCATCTTCCCAGGTTACTACATGCAGTTTTAAAAGCTGAAAAGCTTCTTCCGTTAGTGATTTCTCATAGCTGTCTTATGTGATCATGTCTTATGTGATCAACGCGTATTGATGAGAGCTATAAAACTGATGAAGCTTACATGCCCGTTTGATTTATGTTTATTATAGTAAATAAAGGAAAAGAGAAGTGGATTTGCTTTAATTTGGTGTTTTCAATCTATGAAGATTAAAGATTGCCTGGGCTTTCAGTTTAAAACATTACATGTCATTTTCTGCAGACTCTTTTTCCCTGCGTATCAAATTCCTCCCATGAAACAGCTCATCCAGACTGATGGGAATGAGTATATTAGGCACATAAGTATGCACAACAGTTTACTGGTGTGAATTTAAATGAGATTAACATACTCTTGAATGGTGAAAAAATGTGATCAATCCAGTATGATTTAAAAAACACTTTAGCCACAATATGATGAACAATAAATGCAAGCTTATTTATCATTAGGCCCACCGTGTGTTAGTTATTAGCCTGAAAATCTGAAAATTGCAATGCTTACAACTTCTGTTCTACATATTCATAAGGAAACAAGATTCAGCAAAGTAGCATTGAGTCCACGGCATCGAAAGTATGTCGGGTCAGACACTTCATAGAAGTGAAGCCGTCTGTTTTTTACCTGTTCTATTTAATGCACAGGCCCTGCCTTTTTACAGCATAAAAGACATGAGCAGTGAGGCCCGTCGATGGGCATGTGCCCCTTGAAATAGTGCATGTGTGAAAGAGAAATTAAAGTTCAGTAAGAATTCCCTACTGTCACGAGCCAGAGTTAACCTGCACTCTTGCCCACTTCACACCAGATCAGTTTTATGTACACTATAAAGCTGTCAGCTCTCAATAAACAGATGTACTCCCAAGTGGTTTAGCTCAGGTCTGCAAACTGTCAATGAAAACAGGGTAAGCTTTCTAGTACAATGTGCTGCTTCCCAAAAATCTCCTTGCATCCAGATTTTGTACAACTAGAAATCAAAGGACCTGGTTCCATATTCCAGGGTTAAATCTATAGTTTGATTATCACTATACTTTAGTAGTTTGCTTTGAGCACATACAAGAGTTAATGTCAATTAATCAAAATGTTGTTGGCAACAGAAACCCCAAGGAAAAAAAATCCATATACTGGAAAAGTTTAAATGGGCAAACAGCAGTCTCTGAGCATAACCAAAAAATAAATAAGAGAGAACTTTTTTTCTTCTTTTTCCAAATATGCCTTGGTTTGTATACTGTGCACTGCCCCTGCTGAAATGCCAAGGTCAGCTAAAAAATGCAGCTTTCATGGTTTAACTGCGCACTGATAAATCTTTTGCGGATCCCAACAGACTTGAGGTCTCTAAAAGGAATATTCCATCTATTGTTTGCCAGATACATTGCTAGCATAGATGAAAATAAAATTAACAAGACCAATTGACTTTACTATTGATATACTGACCAAGAGTTCCTCTGTGGAGACCAAGGCTCCAGTTTACAAGAGCTTCCTGAAACTCAGTACCGTGCATTGCAAATGATCTGCGCAATACTAAGACTTCACAAACAGAAGAACAGTCCAAAGGCCATGTGCATTGAGGATACAGCACTTCTTTGATATAGGAGAATGATATTCTGGGACTTTAAATACAAAAATCAGAAATGGTAGTAGTTTAATTTTATGATTTAACTATCCTTAAAATACTTATTCATCTGTAGGAATACTTTTTTCTGTGTGACTTCAAACTCTTGAGGGAGTGAAGAGTTGTGCAAGGAGGTTATACTTAATATGTTGCAAATATCGAGGTATTGCTAGCAAACAGCACATAAGAGTATGTGATTGAAATGATATACAGTATTTAATCTATACTATACACTTGTATGTCTATCAATATTGTTCATCCAAAGTTACTACATTTCTGAACTAAATCAAAAGCATTTCTTAAAAGTAACACTCAGTTTACATAATGTAAATTACAGTGCCAGTAACAATGGTAACAGTTGCACTTAATAAGCATTAGGACATTACTGGAAAGCTGCAATACTTCTTAAACTGGGGAACACATATACACCTAGGGGACATGATTCAATGCACATGGTAAATGCAAATTAAGAAATGCAATTGACATAAAAATTCAATGACTAACAACACAATGCACATGTTGTTTTCGTGATGGAAATGTTCTGTGTTGTATAAACACAGCCCTGTGGCTTCTCTGAATTTTAATTCTACAAACATTATAGAAATCAAATCCCATACAAGGCAGTCAGCTGTTGCTGGTTTTATGGCCTGCACAGCAATTATAACAGTACAGGTCTACAAAAGCACAGAAAAAGATGCAATATCTAAAATCTCAATGGCAAGTTGCAGTAATACTGTATACCTTATGATATACTGTAGTATACTATGTTTTAAATATTTCAAATTTGTACAGTCTAAATCAGAGAGAAAGACTACTCAAGTCCCATTCTAGTATAATCTGGAGAACTAGTAGTAAAGCATGGATCATTTAAATTACAGCCAAAGTGCTATCTCTCTTGAATTCGTAGCCATTGGACTTGTGTGCTGTCACAGTTGTCTTATAATGTAAGAGGAACATTATATCAGGGTGGTGATGCAATAGCTAAGATTTTCCTATAACTACTACTTCTAGTGTCCACATCAATTTCAAGATCTGACACTTTGTGGCAAGAAAATTTTGCGAAGGGTAATCCCATCATAATTCTACCACACTCACCACAGAAACAGTAGTAATGTTCAAACGAAACCCCTCTGAAACATAATAAAGGCCATAGATACCAGCTTGATGAGAAGCATTTTATTCGCAGTTTACAAAAAGGTCTATCAGTTCACTGGCGATTGACAGCTTGTGCTTATGGTAACAGAGGAAGTGTTGTTATAATGGAACGTTCGATCCATTTCTGTTTGACATGCTAAACAGCTGTCATGGCTGCTATTGCTCAGGGCATTGACACGTTATAGCCTGACCCTATCCACAAACAGGCAACACAGCCCAGCAGGTGATTTGGAACAAGACGTATGTTGTTTCTTTTGGAAAAAATAAGAAGCCGGTGGTTTTCCAGTGCTGAGTAAACAAGACATTGGGAAAAACAAAAACAAGGATGCTGAAGGACAGTGATAAGGATCTGAAGGGTAATAACTTTCCCCACTCACTCCCAATAAGCACATGACCACATTTTGTGAATTTGAATTTAGTGGTGACAAATAAGTGCAAAAAATGAGAATGAGCAGAATACATAACAAGAACAGGAATATAAGATACTGGGAACTGGATCCCAAGAAACCAATACAATCCTGAAGAGCTCCTATAAGGTAACACTATGTTATGTTTAGAGAATGTTTATAAGAGCAAGCTGGATGAGAACACCCAAAGACCAGGAGAATCTTTGGAAGCTCTTCACCCAGCAGTGGATCGACAGACTCATGACAATATGATTGAAAAGACCTAAATCACAGCAGTCCAGCCCTGGTCCCTGGTTTTGGAGAGCTGGTGTGTCTACAGGTTTTCATTCCATCTCTGCTCTGAATGAGCTAAACCGTCTGTTTACTAGTTTAACTGGACCAGTTTGACAGCTTCTCCCAGTACTTCTGGCACTGCTGGTTTAAAGAGACCATGAATACCTGTGGACACACTCCAGGTCCAAAATTGGACACCTCTGATCTGAATTTTTTTAAAAGATCCAAACAAGCTATAATGTCAGGATCCATAATGTTAATGTTCAGCAAATTTAATCTTATTAGCTTTCATTTATTTGGCATGACCTTACATTTAAATTTACTCATCATCAACAATTCTGAGGTGACAATGTGCGCCAATCCATTCCCTTCTCTCTTCATAAAAGTGCTTTGCATTTAGAACTGCAATTTCTATTGTTGTCATAATAAAAACTCAAGTAACCTACACTACACAATGAAATTACAGTTGAATGTTGACTGACTTCACTTTAGTCCGTAACTTGGTATTCATCCACCGGTACCTTCTATATGTTGAATACAGGTGACACCTTAGAAATAAGGAGTTTTATAAGGAAGGATATAAAGTTCATTTCATGATTTAAAACAGACATAAGGTTAAAAGCTTACCCTTCATTCCGGAATATGGTCCTGAAGCAGTCACCAAGACTCTTGTAACTGTTTGGGTCACTTCTCCCTCTCTGGATTTGAAACCTAGAAAAATAATGATAATAATGAGTGATTATGACAGCATAACAATTCCTCAGTAGGACTGATGAGTGAGAATGTTCTAAGAAAGGATATAAAGAGCTTTTCAGTCTCTAAAATGAGAAAGCAATTTCAATAGTATAAAAATTTCTCCCTTAATTCAGTGGGGGTGGCCTAATGTGGCAGGTAATCTGTCAGTTTTATGATTCCGTCCCCATGCGAACGCTGCTGTACTTCCCTTCGATAAGGTTATCCAGTAGCTACGGCCAGCCCAGCTATAAAAGAGAGGACTAGCGTTGCATCTTGCAAAAGACTGGTATTCCCTTCATGGTGGGGGGAGTCACAAGCCCTCTAGTCTGCTTAACTTCACAAAAAACCAGGATGTTTTGGCCTGATGATTTGCTATGGTTCCGATTTTGACTTAATTTTTACCTCTTAATTCACTTACTAACAAGCAAGGACTTTTGCCATCAGTGTAACTGTTTTTTTTCTTCAGTGATCATCAAATGACATTGATAACCACGCCAATTCAATACTGACCGAACAAGAACAAGGCACATGCAAATGAGCTCATTTTTTTTCTTTCTTTTTTTTTTAGAGAGCATCCACTCGGCCTGTGCATTAACCGCAGTTAGAAATAATAAATAAGCCAGTATTCCCTGGCTTTCTTTTTATGAAGAAGACCAATGGGGCTCTCCCCCAGTCTAAAACCATACGATGTCAATTACAGCCATGTTATGAAGGCAAAACCTGCTTAAGGCTGGAATTTGGTAACATTGTAACAACCTGCATGCCTTTATGTAAATTTTTACAGGACTCTCTTACAACACTTCCCCTGCATTGGAGAACTTGAAACATTTACTTAACCCAAGGTGACCAATTAGTTTAACTTTTTTTACAGCAGGGTTTTGTTGCTGGCTGGTACTAGCGAACACGCTAGTAACACTTCTATGGTTACGTGTAAATTTTTAATATGAAATAGTCCTTCGCAAACCCAGTTGGAGTAGCAGCAGAGCAGGATAGGCCTGGCTAGTTAACAGAAGCCGCTTCACGGTGTTTTACAATGCTGCCTCTGGCATCGGGTCGCTGTCCCGATCATGGCAGTGGGGAGCTGCAAGAAAACTACATAAAACCACATTAAAGACTGACCTCAACCCCTTATAAAGCTCTCTGAGGTTCTACTGAAAAGAAAGAAGTGACAGCTTTGTTACAAAATCAATTAAGAAGACAACAGGCTTTTCATTTACTATGCTGTAGGACAGAGTCGCAGAAACAGTAAAGGAGCTAAAATCTCTGGAACACCTTCAGGAAAAGTTCACAACTGATCACACACTGCAGTGAAATATTGTTTTTTCCAGTCTTTACCTTAACATGGAGATGGCAATAATGTATTTTATATGATTATTGATAATGACATTTATTTATGTGCAAGGTATTTACAGATTTGATACTCAATACACCTATCAAAAAATATCATTTCCGATTTTGTTTAAGATTTTTTAGAGACACTAAACTGATGGTTTGCAATTTGTCACATTGTTAAAAAAAAAGCAGAGACCTTCTGGCAAAACTGGAAGTAAACAATGTATTGTTTTTGTTTTCATTGTTTTGTACTCCGGGTATGTTTGTTTTATTTGCTTGTTTCTCATTAAATTTGTTTCTGAGTGCCAAATGAGCATTTATGATGTGTATGATGTGATGGTAAACAGTTAACACCTATATTTGCCACTTTATGGACTTACATTAAACTCTATACCAGGTAGCTTTTTCAACAGGTCATGTAAAAAGTATAATCATTTCTGTTCACCTCTCTTACACACTCTCTTTCCTTGGCATATGAAAGCCTGAACTGATTGCGTTTCAGAACGTGGCTAATTAGGAATGCCAGTGAGGGATACATTTAAACCCCAGTCAATTTCTGTCAGCAGCTTTTTTAAACTGGATTTGTTTTCTGCACTGTTGCACTGATGTGCATAATCTGTGGAGAATGTTCGTTCATTACAGAACCACATTCTGGACCTGAATTAAAGTATGCTTGAAAAGGAAAGAGGAGAAACATGGTTTTGATTAAAGAAGAACAAGAAATAACTTTTGAAAGTAAATGATAGACCTCCTTCAGCAAAGCAGAGGTTTTTTGGCACTTAGAAGGGAGGAAGGACTACTCTCTTCATGAGGCCACTTCATGGCCGCTGTCTGGTCAAAAGGTCACAAGGTAGCCATCTGACCGGGTCTCAGAGTGCTCCATAAAGACGACTGGATCCGATGTGGAGGCACCTCGCTGGATTTTATAACAAAAAAGATTAACATCCTGGAGGGGCGTCTCATGGAATCCAATTTTGTGGATTCCCAAATAGCTTGTAACCTCTGCTCAAGAAAATAGTTAAAACAGTGTCATAAACGGACTACCAACATGTATAAAGACAGAGCTTGAGAAGATTTAAGACCAGTGGGGCTTGTAAACAAATTTAAATCAGCCTTAATTAAATGCATATGACATCTGGTCAAAGACCGAATCTTTTTTCTGCTTTTTTGGCCCTGTGTTCTCTGCCCTGTTATCCAGAAGACCAGCTTACTTCTCTATTAGCCCTTAGAGCAGGAGACTCTATTTGCACGGTCCCACAACAGCTATTGAGCCCTGCCTTGACCTCCAGGTCAGCTCATTTCCTTGCACCTCTTTCTTACCCTGCCGTAAAATTTGGTTGGGATACAACAGTCAAAGGGAAAGAGATAAGTTAAAATGTTCTGATGAATGAAAGAATAGATCATCTGCTGATGTTGTGCTCTCCTTGTACACTGTCTCACAGCCCCAGCAGTGAGGGATTCAGATCCATAAAGTGAAAAGGGAAGCAAGAAGGTCCAGTCAGCTAAGTGTGAGTAACACTATAGTTTCATGTCAAGGTTTGTTTGAAAGCATTCCCCCACCAACAACACGGCAATCCAAACAAAGCTAATGTATTCGTGTTATTTGACCATTATTTCCATTTGTGTATATATCTCAGCCATACGCAAATCTACTGCCGAATTCAGAGATTATTTGATTCATCTCACCCTCCACATAAGCTACCGCAAATATTTTAAGAAAAATATATTTAAAGATATGCATGTCTTGAAAGGAAGAATTTGAAACCCAAAATGTTTCATTGAAAATGTTTCTACAAGGCTTAATCTGATATTGTGATACAGTGTGTGTATTCAACACACACAAATTATAATTTTTTTTAAACTTATTTTCAAAGCAATGGCAAGGGCTTCATTTAAGGTGCAAATGTAACTTTTAAAGAGAGTACACTTGATGCAAAAGATGTACATTTTTATTTGTCAGTTACTGAAAAGCAAAGGCTTCTATTCCTTCAAGCTGATGTATTCAGGGTGACCAAGAAAAGGGGAAGACATGACATTGTAAAACTATAGTATCAGATACAAATTAAAGATTTCTGAAGCTGGCTGAACAAAACCTATTCTTGTACAGTATCTTGTTGGTTTGTTTCAAGTATTAAGACATTCTCCTGGAATTGCTTTAAGAGTTATGAACAGAGAAAACCTACAGCAGACCAATAATTTCAGAAGATTAAATTAATCCTAGAAATTGTGTTCACTGCATCTTCTGTTGAAACACATTTATAACACAATATCACAAATGATACAGTGCAAAACTGAGGACCCCAGTGAAAGCACCACATCCCAAACCCCTCAGAATACACTGAAATATTCCGCAGAACTAGAAGTACTTGAAGCCTAAGGTTGAATGGTATCATTCCAAACCACCAAATGTCACTGCAAAGCAAAGTGCTAATTTCATTTGACTATACCCTTCTTTAATTTAAAATATTGGAATATTTAGTTTTATTTCTCATATAAATGTTTCATTTTTTAAAATCTAGAGCTCTGCAGTTCACACTAAATCTAGAGCTTTGATATTTTGCAACCCTTAACTCTTGATTTATAGAAGGAGACGAACACTTGAGTTTTTAAAAAGATGTAGCGCTCCAACCAATCCTGCTGTCTCCTGTGGGTGGATTGAGCAGTAAATCCTGATGGAGAAAGAAAGGCCCTGGAATTTCTTATCACTTCCAATTCTTCCATCGGAAAGTGCACAGACATTCCACATTCTTTAATAAACACAATAAAAAGCACAACCTCTCAACTCCAGATCGCTCTGTATTTAACACTTTACCCTCCCGTTGGTACAGCATGAGTGGGCAGAGGTGAGGGCAGAGTGGCAGAGGTGCTTCTTGGGTGAGTGCAGCGCTCGGGGCTAATAAGCTTGGAATCTCGTATAAAGGTCGAACAGTTAGAAGTCTGTAGTGCAGCCTAAATGAGCAGGGACTGCCCCTTTCACACTTTTATAGACACTGCACAGAGTTTAAGAGCAGAAGCAGGGCCCTGTCCTTTGGAGACCTTTAAGGATAATTAGTTTTCACAGGTTTGATAGGGATTTGCCACCAATACGTAATTTTAAGCAGACAGAATAACACACCTATAAACGCGAAGTACAAAGTGAGTTCTGTGCGTTCTGAGAAAGGCACAGCCAATTCATGTTTAAGAGACAGATACAGTACTTGCTTTCCACATGAGAAAAGATGGTCCAGTTGTTTTAAACTTAATTTGTCTTCTGAAGTCAATGAATGTCTCTCACTACAGAAACATACTATAGATTCACTTCTAAAACGGAGATTGGTCCTGCAACCCAATCCATCACGTTTGCTGATCACATTTACTAACATCATTTGTTGCCATCTGCACATCCATGAAGCTAAAAATTGTACTTTGTTTGTTTGAAAAATTGTACTTTCTCAAAAGGACACATCTTATTTTATTCTCTTATTTTACCCTTTTTCTATCCTGGTCTATAAAGATTCTGCTGCAGAGAGTGAACTATACCCAACCGCCTTGCTTACTTCCAGATGTGGTTCTTATGTTGTTGAAAGACTTTCTGAGAATATCCATGTTTGAATGTGGATATTTAACTTATTCTTTCAATTCATTTGAATTGCCTAAGCCTTTAT